AATAACTTCAAGGAGCCTTTAATGTAAATGTGGGAAGGATAATAACACTCTTTCCCAACACACATGCATGTATACACATGTGCGTACACTCATGCAAGCTCACTAAAGAGCATATTAATTGTAAAGTGCATTCTGCTCTCAAGAGGGACAACAGATTTATCCTACTGTGACATGTGTAGGGGAGGAAGAATTACTCTTCTACCCTTTGAGGTTCTTCTGGCTGATCTAAGAATTAAATTGACGTGAGAGAGAATAACAGGAGAAAATCAAACAAGTATATATGGGAGAATCCCAGGAAAACTGAGTAATCCACCAAAATGACCAAAGCCACCACCCTAAATACTCTCTTCAGCTAAAGAAAGAGGATGTTGGGGTAATGGTTTGGGACTTCAAAGGGGAGAAAGGCAATTCACATGGAGATGGAAAAGCAAATGTTTGGTGAACAAATGTTTGCCATGCCTTGCAAAGACAACGACACATGGAAAGAACGTTGATCAAAGGGGCCTCGCTAGGTTCCTTCCTATCTGCCACACCCAGTTCATAATGTACTATAGTTATCTATGCTGCTAACTTCTTCCTGGAGCAGGCCTTCTATTTTAAATTCTTTTACACAGTTAGGGGGAAAATCAAAGTTTCTTCCTGAGTCTTTTTTTCTTAAAAATAATCAACACAAAGAGACACATTTTGGGGTAGGTAGCAAATCCTGCTCCCCTACATACACATTACAAATAATAGTACGTATTACTATTTAAGCTTGAGGCTAAAATGGTGAACTTGACTGACAGTCTTTGTCCTCACATAGTTTACAATCTAGCGTGACAATAAATAATTATGTTGTAAAATATTGTTTCTGTAGAGAAAGGAAAAAATAGAGTGAGAGGGAATAAAACTTGTTATCTATAGTATCCAATCCAGGGAGGGTAAAACCTGAAACATGGAAGAACTTGTGTTTACTTACCTTAAGGACAGTGGTAAGTGATATAGATGCCAGATTATGGGAGCTAAATTATTCAGTGTGTGGAATGGGCAGACAGAGATAGGAATCCTGAGAGAATATGCCAGAATAGATGAGATGAGAGAACATTGTTGGAAACAGGCATCCACAGGACAAAGACCAAAGGGGATCAGGGAGGACTGAAAAGAAAATGCGTACTATGTAATATAAATCCCCTTTTGCTGCCCATCAGGTGAACCTCCAGGCAACGATCCGTTATTTTACCAAGGTCCAGTGAAGCAGATTTTCTTTGGGGAATGAAGAGAATTGCTGAATTCCGCCTACGGTTGCCTGTAGAGAATCACACCTACCCACAAGGCTGTCTCTGTTATGCAAAAAGAAAAACAAAGGTGAGGAGGAAAAGACAAGGTCAACACTTATTTGTCCAGCACCTACTCTGTCCCAGGCTGTTGGGGGAGGGGGAGCACTGGGGTTAAAATGGTAACTGAGCCTGTGCCTATGATGCAAAAGCACATGAGCTACAGGACTTGACTATAAAAATATTGAATTTCTCTCAATCCTCATAAGCGGATCCAAGACTTTTAAGGACAGAATAAAACAAACAAGAAAACTAAATTCAAACAAGTACAGAGTCTAACTATAGCCTAATGTATTGTGTAATAACTGTATGTTCAATGTTATGCTGAACACTTTACACACAATATCTCATTTAACCCTCACAGCCAAACTTTGAGGTAGATATTTTTATTATCCTCATTGTATAGATGAGGAAACTGGCACTTAAAAGTATTAAGTAACTTTCCAAGATCATGGTTATTAAATGGCAAATCTGAGGCTCAACTGACATCTGTTTGATACCAAAACTCATGTGCTTTGAAAAGACCATAGCCATTTTTCAGAATTTAAGGTAGGTATCTTAAAAATGGAAACTACTTTAGTTAGTTCTTTATCAGCCACCAAGGTCTGATTCCTAGGGAGAAGTACTCAATTTTAGACTGACAAACAATTTCACTTGAAATCCTTATCAGCAATGTCTATATCATATCCATGAAGTATTTTTAAAACTGCAGTTAATCATACAAGTGTGGGGCAGTTGGTTGTGATACTACCCAGACAGTCAATTAGATTTTTCACTTAGGTGTTTTGGTTCAAAGGTGACACAGAAAACCATTGCAATCAATAACGCAGATTCAGTCCCAAACATCAAGGATTGTATAATTGTATGGTACATGACTTCAGGATGTTAAATTTGTCTTTTTTGTTTGTAGAAATATCATTTGAATGTTTGGGGCAAAATATTCGCATATTACATGTGCTTAAAAGAAAAGAGGAAAGAAGGAAAGAGGGAAGGAAGGAAGGAGGGAAGAAAGGAAGGAAGGAAGGAAAGAAGGAAGGAAGGAGAGATGGAAGGATGGAAGGAAAGCAAATGGATCTTTTTGCATTGGAGGCTCCTTACCATCTGATTGCACCAGTTTGCTTGGTGTACCTTCATCCTTCTCACCAACCCCAAGTGGCTCTAAGCGTAGGCCAGATTTCTCCTCTGGCATATCAAGAATTTTCTTTTAAGTGTTTACAGTTAAACTAGGCAGTTAAAGGCAAGATGAAATTTATATATAAAATGATATCCTCTTATAAAGAATAGAAGCTGGCAGCAAAGAAGCCCTTTCTTTTAGGCTTTTTAATGACTATTGGACCAAAATCACTCATTACTCTCAGGCACACTGTATTTTGGTTGACCTTGTGGAATGTCTGTTTGATGGTTTTCAAAATCACTTATCCGTGCAGTTTTGGCATCTCTGTGCTGTGTTAGCAATCCCAGCTTTGTATCAGATTCTACTTCAGTCTTTCGTGTAAGTTCTGAATTTCCTCCCACTTCTTTCTCATCAAAATATGTAAGCAGGTACAAAGGAGTAATTGAGCACTGTGAAATGATCTTAATGTTTCAAGATATTTATCCAAATTATGCATATACTTAAAATAAGGGTGCAGAATCTAAATAGTGGTTACCTCCCTGAACTCCTGGGCCCCCAGCGAGAAATTCTTTAATGTAGTCATGAGGATCCTTATGAAAAGTTTGGGAAACATATTAGTAAACCCATGAAATGTTTACTACCACTACATGAGTTTAGTTTGGATTTTGCTTCTATCTTTCTATCAATAATTGAAAAAGGCATCAGTATCTATTCAGGGACAAAATTCATCTGTATCTAAATTTCGTATCCTTTTCAATCTCATCGTCTTCCTTAAATATTTATTAAGTGGTTTCTTGCTATTTGCCTGGCACTGTGCTTTGTATCCATATATGACGTCATGTAATCCTCATAGAGAATCTATGAGCTATGTACAATTACAATTTCTATTTTGTAGATACACATACAGAGAAATTAAGCAATTTGCCTGAGGCCCCACAGCTAGGAAGTGGCAGAGCTGGGATCTGGATACAGGTCTGCCAGACATTAAAGCCTAAAGCCTTTGGCCACGCTGCCTGCTCAAGGTTACAGTCAGAAACTAGCCATGGAGACCTGATATCCTAACATCCCTTCCCCTACTCTTAATAAAAATGCTCTTATCTTTGCTTGAGGACCAGAGCCCACCTACAAGGCCATGTGGTCTGGGTAGGACTGACCTTACCCTCTGATTCCCGGGGTGGGCACATGACACAGGCCTGGCCAATCAGAACATTTGTGGCCCTGGGCATCATCACTGGGTGGGGTACTACTTGTGGTCATTTTGTGGGTGGAGACTACCTGAGATGAAGCTAAGATCCTGAAAGGCAAGAATTGGAAAGATCCCTGGTCCCGGGGACAATATTTGAGTTCCTACATCCAGTTGTACCTTGACTCTTTCAACTTTTCAGTGGAAGAGCCCATAGATTTCATGCTTGCTTTTGTTTTTCCTTAAACCAGCTTGAGTGGGGGTTCACTTACAATTGAAAAAGACCTGATGAAAAGAACACAAATATTCCTCACTTGGTCATGAGACAATGCTGGCAGGAAACACCATGGAACACTCTGGAATGTCCTCCAGTCTCTCACACTTCCCCACCTACTGACCTTTTACCAAAGCTCTAGTCATGCCACCTCTTTTACTTGGTATTATAATCAGTGGTGGCATTCTGAGATGTATACCCTGCTCTTTTTTTTCTTTTTCCTGTTAAGCTCCTTGAATATGTGCTATTTTCCTGCCTTTGGCTGTTTTCTTTTGTTCTCATTATTGCCACTTGGATCAGCAACACAGGTCAGGGAGGTTTGTAATGATCAGACCAAGATGTTTGGCAATAACTAGCCTGGGAAGACAATTTTAAAAAATATTTTGTTGTAATAATTTCATGCAGAGTATGAATCTGCATGAAATTCATTATTCTGAGACTGTGAATCATTGGATAATTAGCAAATTATATTGTTACCTCTTAAAATATTTTGATTCAAATGACAAAAAAATTCAGGTTATATTCTTGAAAGGCAAAGATTTGCTTTAGAGATCCAAGTAGAGATGCCTCTGTCCTCTGCTTTAGAAATGTGCTCAATACATGTTTATTGAATTGGACAGTGAAAACTATGTGTCATACCCTGGCTCATAACTAAATTATCAGAATCCCCAAAATCACTAGACTACGGCATTGTCAAAAGAGAGATTTTCTTCTGCACCTAGGCTTCTGTCTGTCTATCTATCATCTATCTATCATCTATCTATCTATCTATCTATCTATCTATCTATCTATCTATCTATATCTGTCTTTCTATCTAGTATCGTCTATCTCTTTATCTATCTAGAGCTATAGAGATGAGTTGGGTTTAAAACTTGCCACCTTGCTGGGCTGTGTAATCACATAATCACTTCTGGGCCAGAAGTAGGATTTGAACTCAGGCCTCTCTGATTGCAGAGACTGAGGACTCAATGCTATACTGAAGAAGTGAGACCTTAGGTCTCAAAAACTCAACATTCCAACTCCTAGTTCCCATCCTGACACCACAGCATCTCATCACAATACTGTCATTATGATCAGAGCCTGATGATGTGGCTCAGCAAGGACTCGTTAGGTACCCACAGAATGCCTTTTAGGTGGAAAGATGACAAATAAAGGATACTGTCCCTGCCCTTCTATATCTAATTCATGATATTAACAGGTAAATATTTTAAAAGAAGTTCTCTGCAATTTAAAAAAAAAAAGGCAAAAACCTAATTTGTAGCACTTTCCAATTTCTTTTTGCCCCCCAGTGTTATTGAGGTATAGTTGACAAATAATTATGTAATGTATGTAAAGTGTACAGCATGATGATTTGCTATATGTACATTGTGAAAGGATTCCCACAATTCAGTTAATTAACACATCCATCATTTCACATACTTACCTCTTTTTTTGTGTGAGAACACAAGTTCTACTCTGTTAGAAAATTTCAATTACACCATACAGTATTGTCAACTATAGTCATCATGTTATACATTACATCCTCGGACCATATTCATCTTATCACTGAAAGTTTGTACCCTTTTACCAGCCTCTCCCTATTTCCCTTACCTGGTGGCACCATTCTACTGTTTCTATGAGTTTGGTTTTTTTTTTTACATTCCATATATAAGTGATATTATGCAGTATTTGTCTTTCTCTGGAAAGCATTAACATAATGCTCTCCAGGTTCATCCATTTTGTTGCAAAAGGCAGGATTTCTTTCTTTCTGAAAGCTGAGCAATATTTCACTGTACATATATACTTCATTTTGTTTATCCATTCATCCGTTGACAGACATTCATGTTGTTTCCACACCTTGGCTAATGTGAATAATGCTGCAATAAACATAGGAGTACAGATATCTCTTCAAGAGAGTGATTTCCTTTGGATATATTTCCTTTGGATATATACCCAGGAGTGGGATTACTGGATCATATGGTAGGTCTATTTTTAATTTTTTAAGGAATCTCCATACTATTTTCTATAGTGGCTGTACCAGTTTACGTTCCCATCAACAGTGTACAAGGTTCTCTTTTTTCCACATCCTTGCCAGCACCTATCTCCTGTCTTTTTTTATAATATAGCCATTCTAAAAGGTATGAGATGATACCTCATTGTAGTTTTGATTTGCATTTCCCTGATGATTAGTGATGCTGAGCACCTTTTCACATGCCTGTTGGTCACATGTATGTCTACTTTGGAAAATGTATATTCAGGTCTTTTGCCCATTTTTAATTTATTTTTGCTATTGAATTGTATGAGTTCCTTGTATATTTTGTATGTTAATCACTTATATGTAGTTTGTGAATATTTTTCATAGGTTGCCTTTTCATTTTGTTGATGATTCTCTTTGCTCTGCAGAAGATTTTCAATTTTATGTGGTCTCATTCGTTTATTTTTTCTTTTGTTGCCTTTGCTTTTGGTGTCAAATCCAAAAAATCATTGCTAAGACCATTGTCAAGGAATTTAACCCCTGTGTTTTCTTCTAGGAACTTTATTATTTCAGGTGTTACCCTCAAGTCTTTAACCCATTTGGAGTTAATATTTGTGTATGGTGTCAGATAGGGGTCCAGTTTCTTTCTTTTGCATGGGGATATCCAGTTTTCTCAACATCGTTTATGGAAGAGACTATCTTTTTCCCATTGTATATTTTTGGCAGCTTTGTCAAAAATTAATTGACCATATATGCATGGATTTATTTCTGGGCTCTCTATTCTGTCCCATTAATCTATGTGTATGTTTTTATGCCAATATTATACTGTTTTGATTACCACAGTTTTGTAATATAGTTTGAAATCAGAGAGTGTGATGCCTCCTGCTTTGTTCTTTCTAAAGATTGTTTTGGCTATCTGGGGTCTTCTGTGATTCCATGTAAACTTTAGGGTTGTTTCTTCTATTTCCATGAAAAATGCCACTAGAGTTTTCAGGGTTTTTTTAAATCATTTTTTTATAGTTTATTTTTTACTTTTTAAAAATTTTTTTCCTAAAGATTGGCACCTGAACTAACAACTGTTGCCAATTTTTTTTTTCTGCTTTATCTCCCCAAATCCCCCCTGGTACATAGTTGTATATCTTAGTTGCAGGTCCTTCTAGTTGTGGCATGTGGGACACCGCCTCAACGTGGCCTGATGAGCAGTGCCATGTCCGCACCCAGGATCCAAACCAGTGAAACCCTGGGCCGCCACAGTGGAGCGGGTGAACTTAACCACTCAGCCCCGGGGCCAGCCCCTAAATCTTTTTTTAATTGAGTTCATAGTAGTTTACATCAATGTGAAATTTCAGTTGTACATTATTTCTTGTCCATCACTGCATAAGTGCTCCCCTTCACCCTCTGTGCCCACCCCTCACCCATCTTCCCCTGGTAACCAGTGAACTGTTTTCTTTGTCCATGTGTTTGTTTATATTCCACATATGACTGAAGTCATCTGGTGTTTGTCTTCCTCAGTCTGGCTTATTTTGCTTAGCAAAATACCTTCCAGGTCCATCCATGTTGTTGCAAATGGGATGATTTTGTCTTTTTTATGGGTGAGTAGTATTCCATTGTATATAAATACCACATCTTTATCCAATCATCAGTTGATGGGCACTTGGTTTGTTTCCATGTCTTGGCTATTGTGTATAGTGCTGCAATGAACACCGGAGTGCATATGTTACTTTGGATTGTTGATTTTAAATTGTTTGGGTAGATACCTAGTAGTGGGATAACTGGTTCATATGGTGTTTCTAATTTTAGTTTTTTGAGGACTCTCCATACTGTTTTCCATAGTGGCTGCACCAGTTTGCATCCCCACCAGCAGTGTATGAGGGTTCCCTTTTCTCCACATCCTCTCCAACATTTGTTATTTTTAGTCTTAGTGATTATAGCCATTTTAACGGGTATTAGGTGGTATCTTAGTGTAGTTTTGATTTGCATTTCCCTGATGATTAGTGATGTTGAACATCCTTTCATGTGTTTATTGGCCATCTGTATATCTTCTTTGCAAAAATGTCTGTTCATATCCTCTGCCCATTTTTTGATGGGGCTGTTTGTTTTTTGTTGTTCAGTGGTGTGAGTTCCTTATATGGAGATTAACCCCTTGTCGAATATGTGATTTGCAAATATTTTCTCCCAATTGGTGGGTTGTCTTTTTGTTTTGATCCTGGTTTCTTTTTCCATACAGAAGCTCTTTAGTCTGATGAAGTCCCACTTGTTTATTTTTTCTTTTGTTTCCCTTGTCTGAGAAGACAGGGTATTCAAAAAGAATAAGTTCAATGTCAAAGAGTGTACTGCACTATATTATCTTCCAGGAGTGTTATGGTTTCAGGACTTGTATTTAAGTCTTTGATCCGTTTTGAGTTTATTTTTGTGTATGGCGTGAGATAATGATCTACTTTCATTCTTTTGCATGTAGGGGTCAGTTTTCCCAACACCATTTATTGAAGAGACTATCTTTTCTCCATTGTATGTTCTTGGCACCTTTGTTGAAGATTAGCTGTCTGTAAATGTACGGTTTTATTTCTGGGCTTTCAGTTCTGCTCAACTGATCTGTGTGCCTGTTTTTGTACCCCACTGGAGTTTTGATAGGGATTGGATTGAATTTGTAGATTGCTTTGGGTAATATGGACATTATAACATTATTAATTCTTCCAATCCATGAACATGGCATATCTTTACATTTATTTGTGTCTTCTTCAATTTCTTTCATCAATACCTTATAGCTTTCAATGTACAGATCTTTCACCTCCTTGGTTAAATTTATTCCTAAGTATTTTACCCTTTTTGATGCTATTGTAAATGGGATTATTTTCTTAATTTGTCTTTCTGATAGTTCATTGTTAGTGTATAAAAACACAACTGATTTTTATATGTTGATTTTGTATCCTGCAACTTTACTGAATTCTTTTATTAGTTCCAACAGTTTTTTGGTGGAGTCTTTAGGGTTTTCTATATATAACATCATGTGATTTGCAAACAGAGGCCATTTTACTTTTCCTTACTAATTTGGATATGTTTTACTTCTCTTTTTTTTTGCCAAATTGCTCTGGCGAGGACCTCCAGTACTATGCTGAATAAAAGTGGTAAGAGTAGGCACCATTCTCTTGTTCCTGATCCTAGAGGAAAAGCTTTCAAATTTCATTGTTAAGTATGATGCTAGCTGTGGCTTGTTATATATAGTCTTCATTATTTTGACGTACATTCCATCAATACCTAATTTTTTGAAAGTTTTGTCATGAAAAGATGTTGAATTTGTCTAATTCTTTTTCTGCATCTATTGAGATAATCATATGATTTTTATTTTTTATTTTGTTAGTATGATGTATCACATTTATTGATTTAGCACTTTCTAGTTTCTGTAACATAAATACTTGTACCATAGCTGATTTCAAGCTCTCAGTAGTTTATTCACTGGCTTGAAAAATTCCTGAAAATTTAGCAATCAGCTTTTATGAATTGGTATGAGACCACTGATCAACTCCAACACATCAGTGGAATGGGGCTTCTCTTAAAAATGAAAAAGATAAGGAGGATCTCTGGCTTAATTTGAGTGATTTGCTATCATTTTAGACCAATCACCATGGCTTGGTGTTGGGTGACTACAATTACCGTCGTGAGTCTTGTGACCCCCCCCAACCCCCACCCCTCCTGGCTGGATAAGTGTCTTAGTCTTCCTTGCTGCTTTAACAACAACAAAAAACTGCATAATCTGAGTGGGTTAAACAACAGAAATTTATTTCTACAGTTATTGAGCTTTAAAGTCTGAGATTAGGGTGCCAGCATGGTTGGGTTCCAGTAAGGGCCCTCTTCTTGGTTTGCAGACAGCAATCTCCTCACTGTATCCTCACATGGTGGAGAGAGAGAGAAGTCACCTCTCTCATGTTTCTTCTTATAAGGGTAATAATCCTATTCCTGAAGGTTCCGTCCTCACGACCTGGTTACTTCCCAAAGACCCCACTTCTAAATATCATCACGTTGAGGATTATGCTTCAACACACGAATTGTAGCGGGACACAACCATTCCATCCGTAGAAGTAGGCATTGAGAGTGACAACTGCACCAAACCCACATACCTGATAGAGTGATAAACAGTCCCCTGAAAGTCTCAAAGAAGAACAGGAATGTGGGTTAGATAGATAAAATCCAATGTTGTGCTATACAATCCTGAAGAGAAAGACAAGATACACAAATACATAACTATGAAGAATAAATGAGCATGCCCACAATAACTGCGAAGAAGAATTGAGGGGAATGGGGTATTTCAAGAATCTACTTCTTATATAGAAAGCAGAGGGATGAATTGGAGAACATTACTTACCTGCATGAGTTAAATTTTTAAAAACTTTGAGCATGGCCTTGTTCTTTAAAGGATGGAAATGGATCCACTGTTCTCTTTCTCATGAAAATATTGGGAAGAAGAGTTATAAATACACATTAAGTGTATTGCTTGTTTAAGGACTGCTGGCTGAGGTGGTGAATATGAGTTATTCAATTAGCACAAACACAGGTGTATTTTAAGTGCTTCAGCTCCCAGGAGTTCTGTCACTATAGGCTCTACCTCTGATGCTTTGTTTTGATCATTTTTTGGCTCCAAAAAGGATTTTCTTTTTTGTTCTCTTATTCTATATTTTGCTGCTTTGTTGTAGGGTTTGACTGCCATGTTGCAAAAGCACATTTCCCAAGCTTGAGAAACAGCAATGCTCAACACCTACACATTTGGCCTCCCTGAACAGTTTCTTTCCTTACAATTAATCCAAAGAGAGTGGAGATGAAGTTGCTTCCTCTATTCATCAAGGCGATTGTCAGTTGAAAAGGGGGAAAAATAGCTAACAATTTTTCAGAAGCTCCTAGCAGAAAAAAAAAAAGCACACACCAGGAAGAGAGGGAACTCTTTAGAAAGCATTTGGAATTTAGAATGCATTTTCCATTATCCTGGTAGAATGTCCAATGTTTTCATGTATATTACAGATCAAAGAATGAAAAGAACATTATTGAGTATTTTCTTTAAGTTTTTTGTGTCAGCTTGAGTTCAGTCTGCTCTGAAAAGCTTTACTGGCACCCCAAGTAGAGAAAAGAGCAAAGATGTTCCTTGCATTATTATTTATAAAAGAAAACAATTAGAAACAATTTAGCTATACAAATATAGAGGACATTTATGTAAAACATGGTATATCCACTGAATGAAAATTAGGCAGATATTTAAAATTATATTTCTGAAAATTTTTGAAATAATCAACTGTTCTTGCTTTATACGAATAGGAAAAAAGTATCATTGAAAATTGCATGTATAATATGCGAATGTTCATAATAGCTTTATTCTTAATACCAAAAAACTAGAAACAATCCAAATGTTCCTCAGAATGTGAATGGATAACAAAATTGTGGTGGATTCATACAATGGAGTATTACTCAACAATAAAAAGAAAAAACTACTGATTGATGAATAAATCTCAGAACATTAAGCCGAATGAATAAAAGCCAGACTCAAAAAATTATATAGTCTATTTTTCCATATATCAATTTGTGAAATAGGTAAAATTGATCTATGGTGGCAAAAGGTGGATCAGTGGTAGCCTGGGGCATGAGTTACGAGAGAGTCACTCTGCAAAGAGGCACAAGGGACCATTGTTGAGTGATATAAATATTCTATATTTTGATAGGGAGTGGTTATATGGGAGTATGTATTTGTCAAAACTCATCAAATTGTATCCCACAAATTTATGCATTTTGTTATATAATACCCCAACAAAGTTGATTTAAAAACTAATATGTAGTATAATTCAATTATGTAAAATAAAAAAACCAAGAAACTAGACATCAAAAAATACTATGAAGAATATTAATGTGTTAAAACATTTACATTCATTATTTCTAGGTATGGAATTAAGAGTAACTTTTTTTTCTCGTACTTGACTTCATTGTTAAATCGCTACTGGAACTGTATACTATACTTTTAATTTTATTTATCTATATACTATCTTTATCTATTTATCCATCTGTCCCCTGTCCTGTCCTTTTGTCCATCCATCCATCTAGCTTCTTTTACCTTCCTTAAATGATTATCATTATATAGAATTGCAGTACCAGGTAGATATAAATATATAATTTCTTTTTAAAGATAGGCACCTCAGCTAACATCTGTTGCCAATCTTCTTTTTTTCTTCTTCTCCCCACAGCTTCCCAGTACATAGTTGTATATTCTAGTTGCAGGTCCTTCTGGCTGTGCTATGTGGGATGATGCCTCAGCATGGCCTGATGAACGGTGCTGGGTCTGCACCCAGGATCTAAACCTAAAACCCTGGGCTGCTTAAGCGGAGCACACGAACTTAACCACTCGGCCACGGGGTGGGCCCCTAAATATACAATTTTTTTAAGTGTGTTTGCAAGCCCCTAGCCTTGTAACAATTTTGCTTCATAATGATTTAATCTGAGGATACCTTCTTGGTTAGTTTTGTTGGCATGCCTGCCTCTGCCCCTTCCTGATTTGGACAGTCATTCCAGAGGAAAGTAATAAAATCCTTGATGTTTTTAAAAAGAATCAGGCTCTTTGACTGTTTAGGTGCTTTGATCATTCATTTTGTCAAGATCAAAGAATAGAGACTATTGATCACCTAGTGTTCTATGCAGACTTGCTTGAATGGCACAAAGATGACTTGAATAACATTGACTGTTGTCGCTGGAATCCCAATGAAAATGGAGATGATTCTCCTGGGAGGCTGTCATTAGAAGCAACAACAACAATGACATCAACTACAAGCATCAACAAAAAGAATCTAAAAAGAACGATAATATTAATGATAAGATGGTTTGGAACGTAAATGTTTCTAAGTCACTTTTACTTACAATAAGTCCTGCAATGTAACAGTCCTGTGGGGCAGACGGGAGAAGCATTGGAGACCCATTTTTCAGATGAAGACACTGAAGCATGGGAGACTCATCTCACCACTAAGTGACAGAGCGGCCACACAAGTCCAGGATTCCCAAAGTGTTATTTCCACTGTTTATCTCCATGAATTTTAAAATGTCCTCTTTCTCTTTTATGTCCAGATTGTCATTCATGGAAGCTTCCTCTTCTTCTGGACTGAATGAGCAGAAACAGATTTTTTAGGAAATTTGGTTGTTGTTATTATTAAAATTTTCCCCATTTTGTTCCTAGGTTGAAGGTTGGGAAAGCGAAATGTAGCCTATTACAGCTTACAAATATTTTTGGACCAGGTCCATCAAATTCACTAAAATCTGAAGGTCCGTCAAATTCGCTAAAATCATAAAGACAGAGAAATTGGTTTGACCATGTTTTCCTTCCTCTGGCAGAACTGTCAATATTCTGGATGCAACAGAAACCTGACTTGCCAGCTGGATCATTGGCAAAGGAGTCAGAATAAGTGGGTAATGCAACTACACACACGGAGACAATTTTGATGAAGGTATTTAACACTAAGCATCTCCTGATTTGGATAGAGAAGTGGATTCTCATTCTTGGCTCCACAACTTCCTTAGTTTCTGCAATCAATCAGTTTTAGGGTACAGAAGGTTTCTTCCACAGAACCTTTTGTTCCCCAGGAAAACACTTTGGGTTGCCAAATAAATCAATGCCAAAAAGAGATATTTTACCAAAACATTTATTTTATAGATTTCATGTTTACATGTCCAGAAACACGATTACTTTTCTTACTGACATGAACATTTCTTTCTCATTTAAAACACAAAACAAAAACTTTTATCTGAGCTCTTTATGAGAATGCAATTGAGAATATTTCAAAGGAGGTAAAGTAGTTACTTCCTCCCTATTATATCGGCTAAAATGCAATGAAATATCAGCACTATTAGCAGAGTGGAATCCTAACCCAACTCATCTAGGTTTATGATTTTAATTAACTAACTTTGCTTTTTCCAAAGGTAATGCAAATCAAAGGCTCCAAAATCACTTGCTGAGAAGAAGGAAACACTATTTCTAAATCTCTAAAGAAAGCCAAGAGAAACTGCTATGGACAATTGGCTTAATCTGAGTTCATCTTTTTTTGTCTAAAGTTTCACTGAGCAGATGTTCCATTTTTCTCATTTTCTTGAAATATGGTTTAAAAAACATCCAGGGGAAAATTTAAAACTTCATGAAGGATAATGGTTTAGGACCCTTCTTATATCTTCCAGAATTTTCTTCTTCAGGCAGATTATTCAATAGGAGTTCATGTTGAAAATAATTGTAAGCCCTGAGAATTCATGTGCTTAAAAATAAAGAACTTGTTTGAGCAAAGTGTAGAACACAGTGGACTCAAAGGAGGGAAGTTGTTTACAATATAGTTGCTCTGAATTCTGAAATGATTCTTTTGGGCCCCTGTTTTTCACTGAATGTAGAGGAAAGTCCTATCAATCACATTAACTCATTTTAAATTCCAAATTTAGCTAATGACTCAGGCATATTTTACCTGCTTAGGGTGCAGCCAGAGGGAAGTTCTTCCAATGTACTCTTTCTTCTGTCTCCCTTCATTGTTACTGTTACGTAAAACGGGAGTGAAAGAAGTGTAGACTCTGGAGCAAGACAAGAACCTGGTTGTCAGAATGGTGACTGAGGCCACGCAGGACTTGCAGAAAGTGTGATAGTGCAGAATTTGCTCATTCTTCTCATTCATTCACCTGTAACTACCACTTAAAATTATTAAAGTTACAAAACTGCTATTTTGCAAATGAAAAGACCTGGCTCTTGATTTGGTGCTTGAAATTATTGAAGTTAGAAAACTGCTGTTTGGAGATTGACAAGGTCTGGGTGTCTCTATTGCTATTTTCAGGCCATTCTCTGGTACACTGGAATGTATTGGATGGACATCCAATTAGCCAGGAAAATAGATCCCTTTCTACCATCCCAGCATGATCATCATCACAATCATACTTTATCTTATCATGTATGGTCCTGTTTAAAAACAGGCAGAGAGCCCCCCTCTGCCCCCAACGGCCCTACCTCTAGCTGAGAAGAGCAGCTTTCATACAAGCAGGCTGGATAAGTTTCTCAAATCCAAAGGCGATTTGTGGGCGTGTTATTGGTGGGGGGTGGAGACTGAGAGGTCCTGTTCAAGATTTGCAAGTTCTGATTGCTTCCTGATATTCTGTCATAGAACAGCTCTGTCCCTCACTTCCCACCCGTGTCTCTGTCCTTGCAAGAGAGAAAGTGTAGCCCAGTTATTAAGAACCTGGGCTCTGAATTTAGATAGGTCTGGGTTTCGCTAATTCCGAGGCTCTGCCACTTATTAATTGCGTTAGCTTGGATATGGTACTTTACTTTCCTAAGCTTTAAGATCCTAATATGTGAAAAGGTAATGATAATAGTACCTGCCTTACAGTGTTATTATGATCAAGCAATTAACAAGGCACTCAGTATAAGCATGCTCAAAAATGTTTAATATTAAAATTTTTTCACAGTCTAAGTATAAACTAATACAAAAATGAATGGAAATATTTATTTACCTCTTATATTTCCAAAAGTAAGTAAATATATATATATACCTGTGTATATATAGTCACATATGCACATGTATATGTATAATTGTTTTAAATGGAAGTATCTTTATTGTTGTTTTGAATAAGGGATCATTGCAGTGAAATTCAAATAATGCAGAGAAAGTAATTTATATGATATCTGCACAGAGACCAGAGACAGACGAGAAAACAGTTCTAATCATCACAAAGGAAATGGAGCGAGGCCTCTGGACTCCCTCTGCCTCCATTTTGTAATAATCACTTCACAGACGAAAGGGGTTTCTGGAGACCTGCAGTGTGAGAACTAGACAAATAGATACCAAAGAGAGCACAGGCTATTTTATTAGAATAAAGTGTAACCCCTGTTTGAGTAATCTGCACTCTGCAGACCCCATTTTCTCACGACTGCATAATTTTCATAACATTGTTTGTGGATTATTGTTTTAAGCCTCCATGGAATACTTTGCTGAGTCTGGGGCATGTGGATTAACAAGAAAACTCTAGATTAAAGAACTGCCAGAAGATCATTCCCCAGGACACTGGACTATATCAGAGCTTTTGAAATATTGTCATCAAAAATTTCACTAGCTGAAATTCAAGTGATTTTTTTTTCCCCAAAGTTTTCATGATATATTATAAATTTCTCGCATGGGCTTTTGCTGTCTCTTTTTCCAGGTATGAGTTTGCTTCTTATCCCTTGTCTACTGAAAATCCTCACACCGTGGAGTGGAGAAAGTTTTCAATAAAAGGTTGGGGGAAGGACTTGCTTCTCTAATCATGGACCAGAAGTGCCTCCTGTAGATTGCAGAAGAAAAGGCTAGGTCTCGTTGCTCCTCCTTCACTGTCTCCACGGACAGCCTGTGGTTTAATGGAGGGAGAACTCAGTGTCGTGATCATTTCATCTTTTGATACGCTAAGATTTGTTATACAGGAATGGTAGGACTTATGTTGAAGCGGGAAAATCCCTCAAAAATGAGTGAAACCACAGAAACGCATGTCTCTTGTACATACTAGATATTCAATGAATATATATTGAATAGACTAATGGATAATAAATGATTCATAGAGTCTTGCCTCAGCTTTTCTCTTGAGTCTTAAGTTCCTCATCTGTATGGAGTTTGAACCAGATCAGAGTTATACAAAGTTTTTTGGGGGTGAGAATCCCATAGGTTGACAGATGAAAAGGGGCTGATTGATGAAGCCACCATCCTCCCACCAGGATGTGCTCAAACCTGACGCCAAATACTCAATCTTCATACTACAATGACACTCCTCTTGGTATCTGTGTTCAGACAGGAGCTGGCCAGTTGTTGGAAAAGCAATGATTGTCAGCAACGAGGAAGGAGAAGGAGAGAAAAGAGAGCATGGGAGCATGTTTTTTCTCCCCAGGGGAAAGGTCTTTGAAGAGCCAGGCAATGTGTAGGGCCTCAGTCCAGACTGTTGTGACTCTGTAAAGGGCTTAAGTCCCAGCGGGAAGCTGAGGAAGAGGGCCAAGCCATGTGGACCAGGCCCAGAATACAGAGGGAAGGTGAGGACTACCATTTGGTCAGGCCCCAGGTACTCCGCACTCACACCAGGCATACCAGATCCTGAATTTATGGCTATGCAGCTATTTTTGGACCCTTCCTGCTAGTAAAGCCACAACTCCTCACATACTGCCTGCTTTGGTTCAGGAAATAGGTGGGGTTTTCTGCAGATGGAAAAGCACAGCTGAGAAAGGAGAGGAAAACGGCTCTGACAGACACAGAATGGCATCCTTTCTATGGTGCTGATTTGAAGTATTCTTTTGCTTAAGTCCGTTTGAGGGCAGTGGCACAGCCAGAGAGATGGAGTTGAAATGGAATGATGTTTTCTTCAGTCTGGATAATAGCACAGGCTACACAGAGACTTGCAACATCACCTGCTGGGGATTTATGTCAACACACCCCCCTTCTCCATAAAAAAAAAAAAAGAGAGGAAAGACATAGAGTGCAAAGGGTTTTTAAAAAATCTACTTTTATTTCTGACCCAAGATGTCTAGAAAGATGACCAAGTGGCAGGCAGTTATAGCAGGTCACGTATTAGTTGAATAGAGTCTGAAATATAGCTCGATCCAGCTGGAAAAGGGACAACAAATTAATAAGCATGTAGAAATAAAATGAGTTTTTAAACTTTAACATTTTCTACCATGTACATTAGTGTGACTTTAAATGTCAACCAAAGTAAGGAGCCCAAAATTCAGAGGCAACCGGGGAATTTTTTCCATCGTGCAAGACAACTGAGGTGCAAAACTAGTCACCTTTCAGCTTGGTTCAAATTTTAGGAATCCAAATCCCAGAGCCTTGGCTGTGTGGTAAACCAGGCTGTCCCCAGGAAGGCTCTTGGGGACTTTTCTCAAGCTGGGAAGCCACTTTAATGGAACCAATGAATATAGATACAAGGACGTCCTTGAGGTTTGTATTTTATTTGATTCCCAACTATGGCTGAAAGATGTGCCTAATGGTGGCAACCTCAGATACTAAGCTGCCTTTGGGAGCAAGGGGGTTCAGATAAGGGAGATTTGGGGCCTGTATAGCCTTTTCCAGCTTCCTTTGAGGCATCAGGGCAAGGAGTAAGGCGTCCTGAGTCCTGAATGCAGCTAAATAAGTACTTCTATTTTCTTTCTCTGTGTTCCTCAGCTCAAGCTGCTATAATAGAACACCACTGACTGGGTGGCTTCAACAACACATATTTATTTTCTCACATTTCTAGAGGCTGGAAGGCCAAGATCAAGGAGCTGGCAGATTCGGTTCCTGGTGAAAGCTCTCTTCCTGACTTTCAGACAGCTGCCTCCTCACCGCGTTCTCTCATGGCCTTTCCTGTGTGCGTGTGGAGAAAGAACTCCGGTGTCTCTTCCTCTGTTCATAAGGACACCAGTCCTGTTGGATTAGTGTCATACCCTTATGACTTCTTTTAACCTGAGTTACCTCTTTAAGGCCCTATCTTCAAGTACAGTCACTGGGGGTTAGGACTTCAACGTATGAATTTGGAGGAGGGACACAATTTAGTCCTAACACTCTCTAAGTTGTTTTGTTTCTGCAGAGGTAGGTGGGAGATGACAGCTGTGGAAAACTATAAGAATTCTAATGGAAGAAGTCCTCAAATGGAACTTGAAGGCAAAAAATAGCAGTGACTTACATATACATTTCTATTTTTCTCAAAGCGCAGTCATATAGATTTTTTATTTTATTTTTATGACAACTATGAGAGGTAAATTGGCAAGAAACCTTAGGGGGCGATAGAGAGGGTGTAAAGTGACTTGCCTAAGTAAGTCTAAGCTCAGAGGAGCTGGAATCTCTGTACAGACTCTGCCGTGTATGTTCCATGGCTTTGTCTCCATCACTTGTCTTTCCGTTGCAAGCTGCCAGTAAAACATTTTTCGGATGTCCCACAATGATGCAACAGTACAAATATCTATAGCAATCCTGACACCAGCAGTTATTTAAAATAAATGATATGAAGTCATGCCCCAAAAGGTTGAGGCTCTGTAAGTTATTTTATTCTTGGTATAATTTCATTCTCAAAATATTTTCTGGGCACGGTTCCTCAAGTAAATGGAAGAAAAATACCCTGGAGGAAGATAAAAACTTTAGTGTGAGATCTATTGTATTTTTTTAAAGTAAAAATGTGCACGGTTCAGACAGAAACAGGAAAATTGAGCACCTGAGGTGAGGAGGAAAGGTTTTTTCATGTGGAGTCTTTAGATGCTCGGTATCCCATCAGAACCAATGCCAATAGGACATGGTTTGGAATAGTCCCAAGGACAAGCTGCAGCCTTGCATCCATGCACCCATGAATAATACTCATGAGCTCTTGAAAATAGAAAACAAGGAAGGTAAACCAGGGGTTCTCTGGATGCTTGTGACAGGGGCAACATGGGTGTCTTCTAATAGCCAACCCATGTGCCATTGATGCTATGTCACAGCCCTACAGATTCTGCTCTGTAATAATGGGCTGGATTTATATTCTGTTTGCAATGGGTTCCTCTTCTCCTTCCTTGCCTTTTGTTTTGATTTGTTTTGCTTTGCTTTTATTCTTTTGCTGTTCATAAGAGTGTCTGGCGAAGTGCCAGTTTAGGCACAATTTACCACCCTAAGCATATGGGGTACTGACACTCTATCACTCATGAGATTGTGTTGGTATATTTAAGAGAACTGCATGTTGTGACAATCTCAGTTCAGCCCCATGTTACATTGATACATGTCTATGGATTTGTCCTGGGTGGAGAAATCCATGGAAGAGACAGTTGGACTATATTGTAAATCCACAGTTGTTAACCACAGAAGCCTATCGTTTTGACCAGACGTTACACTTCGTTACCTTCCCAGTGTAGCATTTGCTGGCCTATGATCATTCCACCATATTGGGATCTTAACATCCCAATAGCTCTGGGCAAGCAGTGGGTTCACAGCAACTCCACCAACTTTGAAATGCGGGTAACCTTTGTTCACCAGCCCCACAATACAAATGAAGTCATTAATCTGTAAAAGGCTTTGGAAAGCAAGTTGTAATTAAAATTTCAGACCATTGTATAATACAGTGGTGCTCTGTCATTCCTATGCCAGAGCATGTGATCAGTTGGAAATGGCTGTTCTAGAATTGTAGATAAACTGTGGTTCTGACAGCAGAATTAAAGCCCATTATCAACTCAGAGAAAACTTGCTGTTCATTACCAGAAAGATTACAGATTGATTCTATCTTTTTTTTTAAAAGAAATAACTTGTTATACAAACACATAACAATATCGATGGAATGCAAAAGAATGAGAAGAAAATTGCCCACTATCCTGATTCATTTTTTAAAAAACTATTTTCATTTCTCTCATCCCCTTCCAGTCCTGTGCCATATATATAATTTTTACAATGTTAAAACCCAGCAGAGCTATAATTTTGTATCTACTTATTTTTTTTTTCAATAAACATTAGAGCAGAAGCTTTTTCCACGTTGTTTCAGAATCCTCAACTGCTGCAGCTACAGAATGGCAGTGCCACTTCCAGCTGAGGCCAGGCTGGGAACAGTATCCAGGCCCCAGGAGGGCAATAAAAACGGCTCTCGGGAGGAGCACTTGATTCTTTTGCTCCCCATTATGTTTTGATATATTCGTGTTGAGAAATGTGGCAGTAGTTCATTCATTTTAACTGCTGTGAAATAGTTCATACATAGCATGGATATAACATCCTTTACCCACACCCAGGGAAGAATCTGAGCAGAAGGGTAGGGACGACTCTGCCAAGGAGATGATTCAATACTCAACACCTGGGTTAAGGATCAGCTCCTGGAGCCTGAAAGCGTTCTACAAGGGTGTTGCTGCAGGGAAACGAAGGGAGCATCCAGTGACCAAGTCAGGTGATGTGTGGTATGAAATAGGCATCTGACCTTATTTTACTTTTTCACATAGATAGTCAGTTTCGCATCATCTATTACCCTCTAATCTGTGATGCCATCTCTGTCATATATTAAATTTCCCTTTAGAAACTCTACTCTGTTCTACTGGTCCATTGTCTATTCATGCTCCAAAACCATACTGTCTTCATTACTAGAGCTTTATAATAAGCCTTCATATCTGGCACAAAACGTCTCTCCAACCTTGTTTCCCAAAATTATCTTAGCTTTTTTTGTTAGTTTTTGATCCTGTGTTCTTCCATATTAGTTTAGGGCCAAGTGAATACAAAGATCTCTTGCTTCTTTCTTTCCAATTCTTATACCTCCTATTTCTATACTTTGTCTTACTGAATTACCCAGGACCTCCCAAAAAGTATCAAATAAAATCATCAATAGTGAACATCCTTATGATGGGACTGCATCTTGAGTTTCAACATTAAGTATAGTATTTGATGTAAATTTTGAGTAAATAATATTAATCAGATTAAAGAAATTCTCTTCTGTTTTTAGTTTTCTTGGAGTTTTTTTAATCGAGAATGGATGTTGAATTGTATTGAATGCCATTTATTTATTTACTATGATAATTACGTGAAATTTTTCTTTTAATCTCTATTAATATACTTCTTGAAGTTGTATTATATTTTCTTAATTAGGAAAAATCTATAGCTGGAAATGTAGTATTTAATAC